ATCTTTTTAAATATGATAAATATCGGTCTAGTTTTATATATATATATGAAACTTTATTATTCGTTTTTATATCTTCTAATTAGATAGTACTAAATAATTAATCGATTATCGATCATCATATAAAGTTTAATTATTTATTATCTTATTTAGTAAAAACTATTGTATACATTATTGATTGATATATATATAAATAAATAGATAATTAAAATAACACACTTTCTCTTTCATGCAAATAACTACTTTCATACAAATAACTAAAAATAAAAAGTAGTGGTTGCAGTATTACTTAATCTTTAATTTCTCTTGTAATAATTTATATGTATATTTTAAATAAAAACCTGCTATTTATCTAGGCCTAATAAAACAATACTGCTTGTTAAGAACCAAAAAAGCTAAACTTGTAGTGAACAGTTTTCAAGAATCTTCAGCTAATAAAAAACTTAAAGAAAGTAATAATCTTTTTGAAGATATTTTAACAAACAACGATCTTGTTGAAAGTAATAAAAATACTGACTATTGTAAAAGTAGTAATGAAGATACCGATTATTGTGAAAATAGTAATAAATATGATAATCTTAAAGAAGTATTTATTAATAACAATAATCTTGAGTACAATAATACAGATAATTACTTTAAAGAAAGTATTAAAAATATTCTTTAAAATGATGGCTATGAAAGCAGTGATAATAACTTTAAAGACAGTATTAATGATTTTGAAAATAATAGTAATAATATTTTAACAGACAATGATAATAATTTATCTACTCAAAAAATTGTTGATAGACCTGTATTATTTGAACTATTTGATAGTAAATATGATCTATACTTTGCTAATTTTACTAAACAAACAAGTTTTTTGTAGATTATTAAACACATAATATGTAAGTAATTTATTATTACTTTATTATAAAGCATCTATACTTTATTACAAAATATCTATTTTTTTTTTTTTAATATCCTCAAAAACTTGTGTTTTAATTTGTACTTATTTTGATAATCTGATTTAAATATTGTTTAAGCTACAAAAGTATATAAATACTTGGTAGTACTTTATTAAAACTTGCAAATTTGCAACTTTAATACTACTTGTAATTAGCTATAAAGTAACTATAAAGTAGCAATATACCTACTACTATTTACTACTACATTACTACTATTTTACTACTATTTTATTATACTTTTACTATAATTTTATTAAATTTTTTTTGATTTTTTTATAAAACTACAATTTTACTATATTTTTACTACAATTTTATTAAAACCTCTTTTGCAAAATTATAGTAAAAGTATAGTAAAATAGTAGTAAAATAGTAGTAATATAGTAGTAAGCAGTAGTAGATATATTGCTAACTTATAGTAAATGTAAAGTATATACTGGTCGAAATTTTTTAATATAAAAGGCCTAGATAAA